CCCCTTTGGATCACTACATTTGTATCTTTGGGGTAAATACCCAGCAATGCAATTGCTGGGTCGTATAGGGTAGCTCTATTTTCAACTTTCTGAGGAACCTCCATACTGTTTTCCAGAGCGGCTGCACCAGCTTGCATTCCCACCAACAGTGTAGGAGGGTTCCTTGTTAGGGTTTTCAACTTAAATTAACTAAACAGACTGTCTTCGAAGACTATAATCTTCAATACTCATGAAAGCAAGAGTTCTCAGATTACAAACCATACATCTCCCCGGAGAAAAGCAGCAAATGGAGTAGCCAACATTCATATGGCTCTTAAACAGGTTACCTCATAAGTATACTGAAAAGATTCTGATACTTTAAAATGTAAATTATTAAATAGTGCTTTCATGGGTATACACTAAACAGAATCTTCATTCTAACCTAAGAGCCAAGTTAAAAACCTCCTCGAAAAGGCTCAGTATGGGAACGATAAAGGGCCAAATAACTTGGCAGGCAGAGTTTTAGTTCATGAATTATATTACATGAAGATTTTTTTTTTAAGTCCATTCCATTAGTTAAACTAAATTTTAGGTTAGTGGGGAAGACTGTGTCTAGATTGCCACATACCTGAAAAAGAAATACGGCAGCATCTGTTAGACAACTATCGGCTGCCCCACAAATGACACAGAACTTTAGGCCTGGAAGGAACACTGGAGCTCCTCCAAGGCAAATTTCTCCTTCTAAAAAGGAGCAAACCAAGGCCCAGAGAAGGTGAGTGGCATGCCCAGGAAAGAGAGTTACAGCTCCAGAGCCAGCAGCAGAACCTGAATCTCTCCATTCTCACTCCAGTTTTCTTCTACATGACATTTCGTTAGTCACTGGAAGACACTTATTTCTACCTCTTTGTGTACAACCAAGCTACAGTCAGCCAGAGTTATGTTTTTGTTCCCATCGTGACAGCCCCTGAAAAACACCTGTATGTTATGAGAAATATTCAAAGGTACAATCCAGATAAAGTATAAGAAATTGCTAAAGAAAAACATCAAGCATATGAATACTTAAACCATTTGTTTCTTTTTCTCCGGTGATGACAAGAAAGTGCCACTAAATAAGTCAAATAATATAAAATGTAAACAAATACTAGCTTCATAACTCCCTCTAGTGGGGACAAAATGTCAAAATCTTTCTATAATTACATCAAACAAGGCAATTAAAAAGTAGAAGAAAGGCTGTGCAATGGAAACCCTACCTCTTTAAAATACAGGATTTCAAGCTCAAATGAGCTTTACTATTCTATTAGAGAAGCACCGATATAAAATCCAAACGGACTCAAATCAGCATGGCCAGGTGTGAGCTTCTCTCTGCCATCTGCTACTTAAACCACCTACCTTTCTCCTCAAGATCATTTTCCAGGCTTCAAATCGATCATTACTAAGTGAACCCTCATCAGCAAGTGTTATCTTGACAGCACAGGTTACTAGTACTTCTGCTCCAAAATGCATACGTACATACATAGAAGCAAGCCATAATCACAGAACTGTTTCTGAGGACACTGCAGAAAAGTCATGTATACTCCAGCAAACTGGAAGATCCCAAATGACAGTCTACCTTAAGCTGTGTGTTCACCAATAACTTTGGAGCTTGTAACCACTCCTATCACAACAGTAACAACAACTATATGTCTGTAATATCACATAATGAAATCACAAAGCACACTGACTTAAGTGAAAGGTATTTTGAAAAATCACATTGTTACGTTATGAATGAGTTAATAAAAGAACTTGGAAATTCCTCTTCTCTGGGCCAGCTTTCCAAGTAAAAGTTTGCCTAGAATACTTTGGATGAGGTCTACTTAGCAGCAAAGACAACTACAGCCATAATTCTCAAATGGCACAGCAAGAAAGTAGTATGCCCCAGTAAGTGGTGAGAAAGAGGAGTGAGATGAGTACTAACTGAAGTGACAGCGTATTTCCATGGTATCATCACCCTCACTCATCTGCACCCTAATCTGCCCTGTTTACTGTGTAGAAGATGGAGTTTTGGGTGAAGCACGGAGTGAGGCTGTGGGTTATACTTCTCTGCTATGCGTTGGCCCACAGTGCCCAAACTTTTACCATTATACCACTGAGAACTGAGGGAATTTAGAAATGATTATAGTGCCTGACTTTTCTGCAAAACTCTTGGAGATTTTTTCAAAATATGGGTCTAATCATGTGGTTTCAGATTCCACTGGTCTAAATGTCCTCTGAATATTGAATCGCTTTACTAAATGAAGTGACTATTTCCTTTTCTGAAGATTAAATGCACTTTCTCCCCTCAATCTTCAATGCAAACAATGGAGGAAACAGAAATGGAAAAGGCAAGATCATAATTATAGAGCTGCTATTGGGATGGCATAGAAGTTGGAACTTGACTGTGGCTTATTCACTGACTTAGGGGCAAATGTGGACAAAATCCCAACTGACCCCAAAGCACCAAAATTAAACTCAGCAACTGGACTTCATACCAGAAGGTCAAAATCAGGATTACTCTACCACTTACAGAGAGAGGATCTCACAAATCCTTAGCAGTGTAGACTATGAGTCAGATATGGCCTGCTTGGCCCTATAATACATCCTCAGGAATACAGACATTCCTCCTACATAAGTGAATTGAATACCAAGTGATTCACTAAGTAGAGAAAGCAATATGCATTAGCCCACTACTAACACTTACAATGCAGCTGTCAATCCCAAAACTACCAACCAGGGAGCAGGAAAAGACCACTCTTTTCTTTAACCACCCAAAGCTGTGAAATGTTCTGCTATGGTAGGGTCAGACAGCCTGAGGAGGTTGAAATGGCCTATGGATATGCAAACTTAGGTTTGATTAGCTGATTTATCATTTTAACTTGCAGTGACAAAATATACATAAGCTGAATTTTATGAATAATCCTGAATTTTGTTGGTGAAAATCTGAAACCCTCTAGTCTCTGATCTCTTCTTCCCTTGAAGAAATTAAAAAAGAATAAAAAGGCAAAAACACTTTTTATTAACACAAAACATAATCATCATGTCAGAGTCAAGTTGGCTATACATTCTTTTCTCCCACTCTGCTAGAAACACTCATTCTTAGGTATTTCACTTCTTAAGAGCTCCTTTTCCTCTGGAAATTCCTTATCCCAGCTTATAACCAATCAAGAAGTGATCCCTAGGGCTATTTTCTATATACCTAGAATTAACTGCCTCTTTAACTAATGTCCCCCTTAAAACTTTCACCACACAATATACCTCTAATTAGTTCCCTCTAATACCTTAACCATCTCTAATATCTTTTCCAATGAAAAATCACCTGTCAGATTATTTTTTCGCCTTTAAAGTCTACTATAATAATTACTTAAACTGAACCCCTCAGGAATCCCAGTAGCTAAATTCCAGCAAACTATCCAAAGCCATCAGGGTCATGAAGACCTCATGCTGTGAGTTCACAAAGTAACAGAAAATCCTCACGCCAACAATTGCTGTGAAGGACCCCCGTTCAAAATCCGGAAACCCTGGTCAGGGTCACAGACGCCAATGCCCTCAGCGACCTGGCAGAGAACTGACAAGAGCGAAGTGGCAAGTCCACGTGAATAAGCCCACGTCGGTGTGAGAGGACCGTGGCCAGCTGGGAAGGGACAGCCACTGCTCAGATCCAGCCTGCCTGCTGCCATGTGCACATGTGGCCAGGGCTTAGGATGTTTCAAGACAAGCCAGATGAAATTTTCCAATCTTTAAATACAGATTGAACTTTTAAAAACACTGCACAACCAAACAAGACAAAATGTCTATGGGCAAAAATCCACCGAGCTGCCAGTTTTCTAGCTCTACCCGAAACTCTACTTCCAGCTACATGGGCAACTGACCCTATTCCTTGCTTCTTGTTGATAATAAGAGTCCACAGTAATGATTTAAAAGGATTGTTTTATACATTAGAAAATGGATTGCATCAAGCATAGTCTCAGTACAAAAGAAGCCTATCATCATAGGCAATCAAGAAATCTGACTCAAACTAAAAACAACTCTAAGAAATTGACTTTCACCAAGTGCTACTACTACTATTGCCTCCATTTACTGAACATGACTCTGTGCCAGGAATCCTGTTAAACTCATCTATGTATCTAAAATATAATCTTCTCAGGGCGCCTGAGTGGCTCAGTCGTTAAGCGTCTGCCTTCGGCTCAGGTCATGATCCCGGGGTCCTGGGATCGAGTCCCGCGTCGGGCTCCCTGCTCAGTGGGGAGTCTGCTTCTCCCTCTCCCACTCCCCTTGCTTGTGTTCCCTCTCTCACTGTCTGTCTCTGTCAAATAAGTAAAATCTTTAAAAAATAAATAAATAAATAAAATATAATCTTCTCCTCTTATTCCTTTTCCCCTTGTCCATTCACCACACAGCAGATGGCAAGATCTTTAAAAACATGATCAGATACCACTTCCCTGCTTAAAATCCTCCGCTGACTTCCCATTGCTCCTGGAATAAAATACAAACATCTTACCATGACACAAAATGATTTGGCCCTAGCCCACCTCCTCATGCTGTCTCCACACTCACCCCTTGGTTACACAATCCCCATACCACAGCCTTCTGGCTGGTCTGCAGATATACAGGCTCTTCCCAACTTGTCTGTTTTATACTCGTTGCATGTCTTGTCTTCCTCAGGCTTCTGCCTGGCTGTTACTTCTCATGAGTCAAGTCTCAGTTCAGGCATTTCCTCCTCCAAAAGGCCTTCCCTTACCAGTGCCCTCCCAGCTGCTTTAATTTCACCTATTTTGTTTCCTTAGCACTTACCAGTGCTAATTTTTAACACCCACTTGAATTATTTTGTTCATCTGTTTACTTGCTTACTGCCTGCCTCCACAAGGATGTAAGCTACCTGAAGCAAAGAACGTTGCTGGACTTGTTCAAGGCAAAGTTCCAGGCAACTAGAAACTAGGTCTCTGCCTCCAAAGCCAACCACTACCTCCTAAAGGAAAAGATCTTAAAGAATCGAACCATTTACTGTGTTTTAGTCTTGTTTCAAAAAAGGAAGCATTCCACTCAACCACCTTTTAAAAGTTCAAATACTGATCAGGTTTTAGGAGGTGACAAAAAATTACAAATTCCTTCAAAATGACTCAAGATGATATCTTTTTGATCAGGAAATAAAACTTTAAGATTGGGTTCAGAGTCTTTTCTCTGAGAAATTTACCTCTTTCTCCCTTTCATAGTCTTCTTTGTCATACTCTTCATCTTCACTTTGTGTCTGCAGTGCCACACTGCCAAAATCTAAGGACATGATGTTCCTGCGGAAAGAGAAAGACGCTTGCTTTCTAAGTATCCCATAAAATCTCCCCAGACCAAACTACACAAGAGATGCCACACACACGCACACACACACAGAGACAACAGCAGTCAGGAAAAAGATATATGTAACTCATGCACAACAAATGGTTGGTATTCCAAACATAAAGACTATGCTTACAAATTAACTGTGATTCACAGAAAATAGCTGTATGACAGTAACTCATAGAAAAGGAAAATGCAGGGCACCTGGGTGGCTCAGCCGGTTAAGTGTCTCCCTTGGGTCCTCTGGGCTTCCTGCTCAGCAAGGAGCCTGCTTCTTCTCCCTCTCCCTCCCCAACCCCCCCGTGCTCTCTTGCTAGCTCTCTCTCTCTCAAATAAATAAATAAAAGAAATATGCAAAAAGCTAATAAATCTGTGACTAGACATTTCTCATGGTCTGGAACGTATAACAAAACAGCAAGATTTTTTGTTCACCCACAAAAAAAATGATAAACTAGAAATATGCCAAAACAAAAATTTTAAGAATATGCTCAGAGTTACTAATTTGGTTTATTAGATATGGCAAAGGTAGTATCCTCCACAATTTGCTTCATCCTTTGAGTATCACAAATCCGAATGTCATGTTTTACAAAGAGAGCCACTAAATGCCGAGTTAATGATCGCCACCCAAAAACCTTTACGATCTGGTAAGCTCTGTGTAGCACACAACAAAAATATCAGTGTTAAGTATTCCGCTCCTTAGCTTGATAAAATCAGCCTCTCGCAAAAAGTACTCAGGAAAAACAGAAGTGAAGAGTGTGAAGCTGTACCATGTAGTTCCAATTCCAGAAGCATCAACAGCAGCTCTCCGCAGAATGGTTACTGCTGTAGCAGAGGCGGCAGCAGCAACAGGAGGTGGGTTTTCAGGTACTTACAGTCAAAAGCCTGCTGATGACTTGAATTATACTTAGGAATCGATGCTACACCGGAGACTACCCAGAATTTCAAAGTTCCAAATAATCCCGACAAAAAAGTAGGCAGGCGTCATCAATTACCCAGCCTAATACTGCCTTCCATTCACTCTTCTCTTCTGCATGCCGGGGAAACGCACTTTGATGTGAGCCTGAGCCACAACTCATTCACTGCATTTTTCAGGCTCTAAAATGTCATTAAACTGGAAGTGAATTAAGAAGCATAGGCCCAGGGCGCCTGGGTGGCTCAGATGGTTAAGCGTCTGCCTTCAGCTCAGGTCATGATCCCAGGGTCCTGGGATCGAGTCCCGCATCTGGCTCTCTGCTCCTTGGGAGCCTGCTTCTCCCTCTGCCTCTCTCCCTCTCTCTGTCTCTCATGAATAAATAAAATCTTTAAAACAAACAAACAAACAAACAAAAAAGAAGCATAGGCCCAGGCATCCAAATACATCTTACCATAAAGAACTTAGCTCCCTCGTGTTAACAGTTGAGAACTAGGATGACAAACTTTTATGCAAGCCAATAGCTCTACAAGCAAAAGATATTCCACTTCATCAGACCTAATGCGCCTTTGGTCGTATGACACCATTCCATTTGTACCACTAAGAAAAAGATGTGGCCAATTAAATTATGACACATCACTAATTTTAAACTGCAGCCTGACTTTGTAGATATTAAAATTTGAAAATGAGCACTTCAGAATAGATGAAATACGGTGTTACAGACTAGCACAAATATGAATTTTAATGCTGAAAATCCCCAAACATCAAGTTTTTGTTTGTTTTTCAAGGACTGAATTATGCTTCTTGTCCAAACTGTAATCTGCAGTCCACTTCTTTATCCTTCCCTCTCTGGTTCCTACACCCAGCCCATCCCTTTCAACTCATCGACTCAAACCCCTTCCATCAACATAAACTCTTCCAGCTTCTGTTTCTTAGACCAGACTAGCTCCTTTCTATTCTTGTGCCAGAGCTAAAAGGAGGAAGGGAAATGTGCACTTTTTCACTAAGAGGGAAAATACATAAGTTTAGGGAATCTAAACCTCATCTCCATCCAACAGCTACAAAAACCTTCTTGTACACCTGCATACGTTAGAGACCTGACTGTAAAAAGCCTATTATATAGCTGAAATGGTAAGGGGAAAAACACTCACACAAGCTCATGTCTCTAGGGTTTTTTCATTACTGCAAGTGAACATCAAGTCTACAGAATTCAACAGATAATGAAAATACTAGCCCATTTAAATCCTGGCTCCTTAAAAGAAATTAGATTAAGTTGGACCTTAAGGACATCCCTGAATTCTCTGGGCAGAAATCATCTTTCCTGCTTCTGGTATTTACAGTATTCTCCACCTCTTCCTGTATTTCATAGTTAAAGCCAGAATATGATTTGGGTTAATTTCTCCTATATTAGGTAAAAGAAAGGAGAGGTTTTTTTTTTTCAATCCTTCATTAACATGCCATCAATTCCTGTTGAATATCGAAAAAGAACAAGATTTACAACAGCCTATTGCTAAATACAGCTATTTTAAATAAAGAGCTACTTTTTTCTCAGAGAATAGTGAATTCTGCAAGGTATTTTCATTTTTAAATGAAGAGAATGTAAAAGACCAAAGCGTAAGTCTTTTGAATGGCTTTTTAATCCAAACTATGTCATTAAAGAAATTTGCAAATATCTGAAAAGTCCAAAATCTCTTTAGACTGGGGAAGAAAAGATACAAATAAGTTTTCCTTCTCAAAAGTGCAAACTACTGGAGACCTTAAGAAACTATTTTGGCAGAAAGAGAAATTTGGATAAACATACTGTGGATAAATAATTAGTATTTTAACTAAAATTTAAAATAAAAGCCAATGCTTTTCCTCAACTCATTGATCACTACTAATTACCACTGTTATCAGAGACTTTACTATAATATTCAGAATAAAAGAGACTGCTTTAGAAGAAAAAATAAAATAGAAAGACAGTAAACCCAGTAGCCATAAAGGAAAAACTTGACAGAAACTTAACCTCAAAAAATAAAATCTTTATATGGCTAACGACATCATTAACAAGTCAAATATTACATATGAAAAAATACACTAACAAGGTCAAAAGATAAAATAATGTAACATAAGAAAAATATTTGCAAAACACATGACAAAGTCCCAATATACAACTTTCAAAATGAAATAAGAAAAAGACAACCCAATTTTAAATGGGCAACTGATATGACAATTCATTTAAAAAAAAGAAATGTTAAATGTTCAATTAACTTAAAAGATGTGTAAGTTCATGAAGAATTCAGTGTCATTTAAACATTGAAATGATTTTCAACTACTAAATTAAAAAAAAAAGTTAATAACACCTAGTGGTGGCTATTTTGTAGGAAAGAGATATCCTCATGAATTGCTGGTGAAACATATGAACTGCAAAAACCATCCTGAAAACTACCATATGAATATATTGAAAAATAACACTTGTCCTAGTAAAAGTACCTTTGAATAAATTTGGTGATACTATACTAACAAGAGAAATAATGACATATTTCTCTATTTACTGACTGATCACTAAACAATCAAGATGCAGAATAAGTGTAGTGTATGCTTTTTTAAAAAGTTAATACTTTCTTCCCAGCTAACTTTTTCTGAACCTATTAATAAGACTATGTTCTTTTTTGTTGTTGTTTGTTTTTTAACACTCAGATCAGAAGAGCTCAGTCTCAATACTCATTTTGTTGTTACTGGTTATGTTTCCTTTGCCCTCCTTGCAATGAGAGGGAAAACCAATGAGTGTTTAGTTGGACAAAATATCAAAAACCAAAAGCACTGTTTTTGTCTCATCCAAAAACCTGTAAGCTCTCTGAAGGCAGAATTAAAACGCAGGTCCCCCACGTTTTGCACAAGGCAGGCACACAATAAGTATTTGTTGAATGAATATGATACATTCATGCCGCCCTCTAGGATTCATTATTTCAATAAAATTTTCCTCGGCATCTACTGTGTGCCAGTTTATATCCTAGATGTATCTAAGACATGATACCAGCCATGGGGAGCTTACAGTCCCTTAGAGAAACAATGATATAAATTAACAGTTACCATGATACATTGTAATAAGTTCTGTAATAGAGGAAAGTATAAAGCACAAATTAAATTTGACTAAGAAGAAAGGGCAGCTGAGGGAAGTTTCACAGAAAAGACTTTGGGTTAGAAAGGACACAATACTGCTGAAGTGGTTAAGAATAAGGGCACTCATTCAGACAACCTGGGCTCAATTCTAGCTCTTCTATCAGCTGTGCAAGCTTGAAGACACTGCTTCCATTTTCTCATTAATAAAATGGGGGTAAAAATAGTACCTACCTCAAAGATTGGTTATGAAGATTCACAAGATAATGAACATAAAGTGCTTAGCACTATGTACCCATCAATACATTCTAGTTTTGTTACCTATGAATAGGAGTCTGCAGCTACAAAAGAGGCAAACAAAGAGCATTCAGGACATCTAAGAAAGGTGAATATGCTGTCTGTGGGAAACCTTACTTCAACTAACACAACCTCTTCTGGGATGAAAATGCTACCTCCTTCAAGATGCCCTCCCAATCCTGTTGCCCTAGGCAGGAGGGGAGGATTTTGCACTTCCAGACTATGTTTCTTATACTTTTCTTACAGCTTCAATTTCAGGCTCTCACTCAGTGGAATACATTTATGTATGTAGGAAGCGCATATAAATTGCCATGCATTGTGAAGGATATGGTGAAATTCAGCTTAAATCAGACTCAAGTTCATGACCATAAGATTAAAAAGGTTAAATGCCACAAAGGGGTTAGTCTATAAATGCCCTAGGAAATTCTACTTACTTGGTTACATGCTAGCTTCCCTTCTAGAATGAAAATAGCCAGAACACACTAGCCTGTTTTAGACTTGCGATACCAGGCTTAAGAGGCCTGGTCATTTATTCAACAATTATTTACCATGCACTCAAGATTACAAAGCTTAACAGGACTTGGTAGAGAAAAAGAGTATAGACATTTAAACAAATGATGACGACAATCTGTGATCAGTGCTAATGACAGCAGCTTGGACAAATCGATTCAAGGTGCCTGAAGAATGCAGAAAGTAGGCACCCACAGGCTGAACTACAGAATCAATCAGTGGCCTTACCAAGGAACTCCGTTTGGCGTCAACTACAGCACAACAAACAGGTACCGCGAGAGCGAAGCTGTAGAGTGCCTGCACCGGATGCCTTGGGGCTGCTGGCTTTGGCTGGCTTTGGCTGCCAGCGTCACATGCACTCGGTCAACACACGTGTACAGAGCACCCACTGTGAGCCAGGCACGGCGCCAGGGCGACCACAGCGGGGGTCCCCAGGATAGGGTCTCAGGGTTTCCCCCGCAGCCTGCAGGGGGCGAGGAGGGCTTCCCACGCGTCACTAGTAAGGAGAAACTCGGGGTCTCGCTGACACTTCAAAGTCAAAGCCTGAGTCCCGCAACCCGCGGACAGTCCACCACCACGGGATTTGAGGAGGGGGCGGGTCAGCCCTTGGGAAGCCACAGCCAGAATCCGAGGACCCCGCACCTCCTCCAACCCCAGCTCCAAGCCCAGCCGCGAAGCGAAACTCACCGGAGACCACGGATGCTGTCACCACGGGAAAACCCTAGTCCCCGCCAAAGACAGACTTCTAACAAACCCCCTTACCAAGGACTCTAATCCGCTAGCTCCTTCCTCGTCACAACCGAACCCAGAAGCGCTGAGGCCATTGACGAGCAGCCGCCTCCTTCAATCGCCGGCTAGAAGCTGGCTTGGCGGGCGGGGCCATGCCTGCTCGAGGCTGGGCGTGGAGACGGAAGTCTCCGCCTTTCTCAAGCTTGGTTGAGAATTCCGCCTGCAGTTGCGAATGTATGGCTGTTTGAAAGCGGGCGCCAGAGGTGGCGGGAATGTCCTCCTGTGCGCCCATTGGTGGATTAGTGAGCCAATTACGAAAGGGTCTACTCTAGACGGGGCGGGTTTACGGTTGCTTAGAGATGCCAAAGCGCCGGGGTTTAGGCCTTTGGTGGGGATGAACCAGTCTTGCCCCTTCCTGTACCTCCTGCACCTCTATGCCCCCCTCGCCCCGCGCTTTCCATTCCTAAACCTCAATTCTCGGTTGCAGCACCCAGAATCCCTCACCTTCCCCACCGAACCCTTACCTTAAAGGTTTTTGCCCCTGCCCTTCTGATTCTCTAAGGTGCCTGCTTCCCCATCACCTAAATAGGCTTAGATGTAGTTTTGCTTGGTTTTCTTTCTTACTGGGTCCTGCCTTGTTTGAATTTGTGTTTCTTTCATTACCGATGAGATGGCACATTTTCCCACATGTTTATTCACTATTTGAATTTCCCCAAGTGTGAATGTTCTTGTCACTTTAGGTATCTGTTAACCCGTCCTTTAAGACAGCGCTGCCCAGTGTGCACTAAAGCCCGTTCTGTAATCTACCTGCCAAGCTAAAAGGGTTTCAGTGAACATCAAGGAGTTGGTAGCACTAGGTTCACGTATCTTTTTAACTCTTTCCCATGCGTATGAGAAAACTCTTTCCAATACAGTATGGAGTAAAATGGTTAAGGCACTTCATAATCCAGCTAGTTTTCTTTTGCCACCTCACCATCCCACCCCTGTGATGCCTACACTAATCCCCCGTTACCCCATCAACTAGCATAAGGTTATGCCACATAATAAGTACTCGCTCAATCCATAGCAATAAGTGACTGAAATTACTGGCTGAGCTGTCTACTGTTCTCAGGGTGTTTTTGTTTTGCTCAAGCTCTTTCTTTCACCTGTATTGCCCTATCTTTCTATCCACTCAGTCTTCAAGATAGAAGAGCACCTCCTCTGAAACCTTTCATGACACACTACCCCCCCCACAGAAATGATCCTTCCTACATCTGTACACAATATACATAACTTATTATATTTCTTATTATCTTCTATAATTAGTTGTGTGTCTGTTTTATTCAGTTCAAGTTAATATCTTGAGGTACTTACATTACTTCTTGGACATCAAGCATGCTTCATGGTACCTGGTAGGCACTCAAAACAAATTGGTTAAATGAGTAAATAAATGAATGAACAAATAAATGAAGGCTTCTGTGCCAGAAAATGTGAATAACAAACATTCAGGTAAATGGCAGTTGTTGAAACCTGAGCCAAGGCATCTGTTAGTGGGAACTAGGCTTGGGTTAAGATGGAATGCTACAGCAAGGATGCTAAGTGATTCCTGTTTCTTACAGAGATGAACACATAAAAGATATAAGGGGGTGGGGCACACGAGGAGACAATGTTTATAATCCCTTACATAGTGCTTTAGAATTTGGTAAGTTCTTTCACAAACACTAGCTCATGTGGTCCTTATAACAAACCTGTGAGGGCCTAGGACAGGTATTCATATCCCGTTTTACAGCAGAAGAAACGGACAAAAAAAAATTTTGACTTGTCCAAGGCTACACAGCTAATGTGAGACAGAGAAAGAATTTGAGCACATCTCCTTTATCTTCAAATATGTCACAAAAGATGCAAAGTAAAGAATAAATCAGAGCCCCTTGCCTCTAAAAATGGATTTGGGTGAAGTTATGGTATAATCAATGGACTTTTCTTGACTGCTTATCCTGTTTAGTTCCTTGCCTAGATGCTTGAATATAAAGTGTGAGGCAGGACCCCTCCCCTCAAAGTACCTATTCTCTTTGGCAGTGCAAGATGCTTACATAAGAAGACACACATGTGCGTGCACACACACACACACACACACACACACGAACCACAAAATAATAGTTTACTACATGCCACGTAAGAATAGGTGATGATTCTGGGGAAAAGTGAACATCAAAGAAAGGATCTATCAGACAAAGTTCTTGGAGGAAGAGGAAAAGAGAGTCAACAGGAAGGTTATTAGCATGAGTGATTGCAATGTGAAACCAGACCAGCAAAAATAAAAGATTCTTATATTTATGGGGCACCTGGGTGGCTCAGTAGGTTACGTGTCCAACTGGAATTTGGCTCAGGTCATTATCTCAGGGTCCTGGGATCAGAGCCCCGAGTTGAGCTCCCTGCTCAGCGGTGAGTCTGCTTGTCTCCATCTCCCCCTCTCTCTGTTTCTCTCTTTCTCAAATAAATAAATCTTTAAAAAAAAAAGGATTCTTATATTTAGAGATAAGAGTGGAAAAGTGGGCTGGAAGGGAGGCAGCCAATAGAAGAACTTGATGCCTGAAGAAATGCAAAAGGCATGCTACAGAAGTAAGGTATGGTGTACACAAGGAATGAACTTAATAACATGTCCAGAGAAACACAAGTAAAATTACTCCAGAATGAGTAATAAAAATAAATGTGGGGGAAGAGAGAAAAACTGCCAAAGATCTTATGTGCTGGACAAGAGATTATTTCTGGAATGTCGGGTCAATATTTATCTTGCCTTTTTTAAGCAGACACACCTGTGAGCTGGGAGGGATGCTACTTCTACCAGACTTGTTTACATTTCAAGGGGAAATGTCATGCTGTTGATGGGACGTGGTCCTTCCCATTCAGAACATCTATAAAGGTGGGGCTAAACCATCATTCCTCCTTTTTCCTACCTTCTCTTTGGTGTCAAAGCTTATCAGGTCAAAGCAAAGCCATCATGAAATAAGGAGTGCTATCCTTAAAAGAGCACTGAACTTAAAGAAGATCTGAGTTCAAGTTCCAGCTCTCCTACCTACTAGGTTTTATTCACAACAGTTTATTTAACCCCTCTGAGCCTCAAAGTTCTTATTTAAAAAGAGGAATGATAATATCTACTTTGCAGGATTGTAAAAAGGATGAAGTAAGATTGTGTGAAAGAAATTCTAAAATGTAGAAATGCTATTTAACTGAGTGTTAATTAACTGAGGGAGATCAGACCATTATTTGCAGTATATTCATTTAATGTTTTTTTGAGCATCCACTTTGCACCAAGCACTATTCTAGGGGCTCATTTAATATTGATTCATGGGTCAAAATGCCTGCCCTAATTAAGCCCCTAATCGCCGGTTTTACTCCTGCCCACAGGCACTATAACTTCACCACCGTCACTTCCCCACCACCCTAAGACCTGGCCATACCTGACTGGGTCAAAGGTGAGCACCAGACGCAAGTTGGGCCACTCATCTTCCCTCCCCAAGTAACTGAAATAAGACTACATGAAACTGAGTCAGGTGGTAAACATACAGAAGAGAAGCAGACTTTTATTACAGTTGTCTGTATTTTATGGAAAATACACTTATTTCCATATATGGAAGTACATGTATATGGCGGAGCTTAGACTGAAGATCATGAACTTCTGGTACTCAAAGCCATGGATCTGCCTGATTCTTGCACTTTGTGAAGCCTGACAGTTCAGCTTTTCCTTGGGTCCTATGATAACCTGAACCTTAAAACAATCTTTTGACTTGAGCTGACTCAGGTCATTTAGGAGTTGAATAGTGTCCCCCCGAATTTCATGCCCACCCAGAACTCAGAATGTGACCTTATTTGGAAATAGGGTCTTTGCAAATGTAATTAGTTAATACAGATGAGGATGGGTCCTAAATCTAAAACCGGTGTCCTTAAAAGAAGAGAAGAAGAACCTGAAACTGATGTAACATCATGTGTCAATTATACACATGTGCACACAAATATATGCATTATTGTAGTACAGGGTTCACTTTTAAAATTCAATTTTTAATTTCCTAAAAAAAAAAAAAGAGGCAAGAACACAGAAAGACACACAAGGAGAAGACAGCCATATGAAGATAAAGGCAGAAAAAGGAGTTATGTCACCATAAAGCCAAGGAACACCCAGGGCCACCAGAAGCTGGCAAGGGATTCTTCCCCAGAACCTTCAGAAGGAGCATGGCCCTGTCAACACCCTGATTTCCGACTTCTAATCTCCAGTACTGTGAGGGAATAAAGTGCTGTTGTTTTAAGCCACCTAGTTTGTGGTACTTTGCTGCAGTAGCCCTAGGAAATTAATACAAGTGGGTTTTCATTCCTTGCAACCAAACAGTTGATGCATTTGTGACAATAGATTGATTGTATTTGAATAGTCTAAACCAGTGATTCTCCAAGTATGATCCATGGCCCACTGGTAGACCTCAAGGATATTCCTGATGGTTCATTAAATGATACTGACCACATAAGTTGTTTCTTCAGTTCTCATGGGAAAATAATTTGCAATTTTATAGGTTTTTATTTTTACATACAACTAAGGTTTACCTATTAGGAATCTACCAAGTAAAATAGGAGGGATTGCTAATGTTTAGAATTTGTAAGTTAAAATTATCACATTATTTAAGCTCACCAAGAATGGTGTTTCATCATTTCTATGTGCAACATTATAAAACTCCTGTTCATGCATACTTGAAGATAACTGAAATACCCACTTTTGGAAGAAGGGTGTAAATAGTGTCATTCCCAGGAAACTGTGGGTTTTAAGAGAAGTAATTCCCGTGTCTTAGTTATGAACCCTCTTTGCTTGGCTTCATCAACATCAATTAAGTTTGTTGTAAGCTGTTGGGTTAACTCAGCTGTGTGTAGTGTTAACTACTTTAATTCATGAATTTACACTTTTCCTATAACTTGACTTTAAAATAATATTCAAGTTCAGGTTCAAATTTTATCATCAGTCATCTATTACTAAAGCCATCAATTTATAATTTATAATTCCACAGTTTACTTATACTTTACTGAAATGTATTAGCTATAAATT